AAAAAAAAAAAAAAAAAAAAAAAACACTCTTATAATATCATCTGCATCATCATTCTCGTCCTTGTATTCGTCCTCGCATGAGAGTACAGGGTGTATGTATCACTAACTAATGCCATCTCGTACTTATATTCAATTCTCAGAAGAAAAAAAAGAAAAGAAAGAAAGAAAGAGAGAGAGAGAGAGAGAGAAAAGAGAAAGGAGAATGAAAGGAGAACCGAGGAAGGAAGAAGAGAAAGAAAAAGGGGGGTTAAGGGGTAGGGGGAAAAGAGAAGGGTCGAAAGACCGGCCGATGGGCTTGGAATGTGGCCGTTAAAACGACCGAGCAAAACGATCTTCATCGGGGCGGCTTCTCTTCTTCTTCTCTCACCGATGTGTTATTTACTAAAGTTAAGTTAAGTTAAGTTAAATTAAGTAAGGTAAAGTAAAGTAAAGTAATAATGAAAGAAGAATCGGGAACCGAGGAACGACACAGAGGGTGCTCGCGATAATAACGCGGGTCGATATACAACGGGCGTTATTTCGAGCTCACTCTCGCAGGACTTTCGACAGGGTTTTTACCACCCCCTTCAGCCCTATTTCAAAATGAAAAACTAAAAAAGAAAGATAGATAGATAGATAGAGAAATGATGCAGGTACAGTTTATGCATATACACAGAAACAACACACGTCATAATAACAAAATTCACCTAAAACTCGCACCATTCTATTCCTAATCATTTTACGTATATCATAATAATAAATTATTGTTATATAATAATCGTAATTATGAATATATTTTGATATATATATATATATAAAAAACTCACCTTCCCACACTTAGCAGCCGGCGAGTTTTCAACGATGTCGTAAATAACGTGAGGAAGTCCCGCCGTTCCCAAAAGGGAGAAACCAAATCCAGAGGAGTCACCGCCGCGGTTCAGGGTGACCACCAACTCCTCAGCCATATTTCGTGCACATTGATCACCTCCCTGTCATTTGTGAGGATGCACCTTTTTCACGCGATATTATTATTATTATTATTATTATTAACAATCGCACGCGTAATGATTATTATACGCGCACTATAATAATTGCCATATAAATATAGTCTTTTTCCGTATAATATATTCCTTGTGTTTTGTGACACTGATTTATTATTCCTTTCCTTTATCTTCCTTCTTTTCTTCCTTGTCGTTGTCGTCGTCGTCGTCGTCGTCGTCCTCGTCGTTGTCCTAATCGTAGTCCTAAATTCCTAATCCTAGTCGTTGTTAGTTATTTCGTTTCTTTATTCTTTATTTTGTAATCTTTTGTTCTTGAATATATTTCTATTTCACTCTCTTTCTCTTCTCTCTTACGATTGTCCCTTCCCAACCACCTCACCCCCCCATACCCCTCTAACCAAGCATCAGCACACCCCACGATTCCTCTGTTTTTTTTCTTTTTCTTCTTCTTCTTCTTTTCTTTTCTTTTCTTTCTTCTTTACTTCCTTCTTTCTCCTTCACTATACCAAGTCAGTATTCCTGTGTATCTCGATCTCCTCTTCCCGTTTCTCGTTTTTACGCGATACCCGCCACACACAGTCACGCGCGAGCGCGAATAAAAGAAAAAAAGAAAGAAAAAGAAAGAGAAAAAGAGAGAGAGAGAGAGAGAGAGAGAGAGAGAGAGAGAGAGAGAGAGAAACGACACGATTGCCCTCTCGCACTTTTCGCGCACTGCACCGTCCGATATATACGAAATAAATGACTTTATTCCCCTCGTCGACATGCACACACTGTATATAATACGTTCATCTTTCTTTCTCTCTCTATCTCTATCTTACCTATTTATTATATCTATGATATTAGATTTCTTTCTTTCTAATTATCTTTATTTATTTATCTATCTATCTATCTATCTATCTATTCATATATCCTTCCTTCCTTCCATCCTTCCATCCTTCCTTCCTTCCTTACGTACGCCCGGCAACGCGTAGCCTTTCGTACGCGAAGCTACCAACAAAAAGAATGAAAGAGAAAGAGAAAGAGAGAGAGAGAGAGAGGGTAGACACACCAAAAAGAACAGAAGACTCGTTCAACTCTTTCCTTGCCACTCCCGCGCGCACTCGCGTGTGCTCCCAACTCTCCCGAGCAAATGCTCCTTTGCGACACGCTCTTCCCTTATGTTTTTCAATGAGAAAGAAAGAAAGAGAGAGAGAGAGAGAAAGAAATATATACGTGTTATATATATATATGTATATACCTGCGCGCACTACGCGGCGTCGCGACGACCAACGACGTTTATCCTTGGCGGCGACTCACGACGCACAGCTCATCATTTACGTGTACCCATGTGTGTATGTATATATATATACTTCTGTAAATTTTATGTATATATATATATCTATGCAAGCGTGTATTCGTCATATATACACACAACATATATATATATATATGTGAGAGAGAGAGAAAACGAAAAAAAAAGGAACGAGTACACTCCTATCGTGCCCGGCGACCGGCTTGCAACTGCACGATGGCGCCACTCGCAAGACGGCATACCTTCCTTCTTCCCCCACTACCATACCCTCTCAACCTACTACGTTACTCAACCGAACGACTACTTCTCCTTTCGAATTAACGAATCACTCGATGTTTCGAGTTACTAATGTGTATCTATCTCTTACCTTCTTTTACTTTCAAATTTATTCTTTATTTAGTTTTTGGCCTACTTGCAACTGCCCTTCTAGGAAATATTCTTTTCTCTACGGTTGATTTCTTTATTTTCGTTTTATAGTTTTTTGTTTTCTTCTTCTTCGTCTTCGTCTTCTTATTCTTATTCTTCTTTTTCTTCCATTCCTTTAACGTAAGTACTAGTTACTCTTGCCATAACCGGTGATATTCCTGTAAAGGGAAACAAATGTATTGTTATATGGCAGTCCAATGATGTAACTGGATTATGTGATCGGTAATTTGAATTCTGTTGTCGGTTCCTTCAGCGCGTTTTTTCTTTCTTTTTTTGCTTTTCATATTACTTTGTTTTATATTGATATATTATTATAATAATTATTATTATTTGTAAATCTCACATATATATCAATGCGATTAATTATCATTTTTATTTTATTTTTAACAAATAAGAGAGTATAAATATAAAAATTATTATAGAATTAATAAAAAATATTTCTTTTTATATTGTAAATTTTAAAATGAATAACTTTGACGACATTAGATACAAAATGTTAGAAAAATATCAATGTTATTTATCGTTTCGAATTAATGCAACGAATAATGGTGTATCGTTTAAAAGTGGAAATTTCCATAACGTCTTTTTATTATCTCTGTGTTTATTCAAAAATCATAGATAATGGTGGTTTTTCATCAAATTATTTTAGTAGGACGTTCGAATAGGTACGCGTGACTTGACTTCGTCAGTAGTGAAAGCAAATATGGAGCCAATAGCACGATTTGTGAAAGTATCAATACCAAATTATTTGGCTGGATTACCGATTCCAGAAACGATAGGAGGATGGTTCAGACTCGGTGGTAAGTGATATAAATTATTTCATTAATTTCCTCTAGTTTTTTTGATCTATCATTTATCTTCTCGTTAATAAAAGTCCATTTCGTTGAGATGACTTTGCAGTATGGCAATCGTATGTCGCGAACATTACGCTATGCTTCTAATGCGCGCTGGATGATATTAAAAAACAAATCAAGAAAAGGAAATAAAAATGTGACATTTTTGTTTTGATACAGTAACCGATTGGGTATCGTTAATTCCACCCACAGCTTTAATGGCCGGCATTGGTTATATGTCGTACAAAGCATTTTGTCCTCGTGCGAGACCGAAGGTAAGCAACCTACCTGTTACAAAATCGTAAAAGAGAAAAGACGTCACGACAACTCGTTAATGTGTATATTTTCTACTTGGCCTGTATCATTTAGTTATGTTGATTATGTAAGACTCCTTTTTGTACTCACTATTATTTAGATTGACAAGTTTCCTAGATGAACCTTTTCAAAATATGTATATAATAATTGAATGACATATTTTAATCTATATATTATTTTTATATCTGTGTGTGTGTGTGTGTTACTAATTTATCGGATCATGTGATTGTGTAAACATATTACATGTGTATATATACTTTCATAATTTGTGAATGTCAACTTAATATAATTTTTGTTTCAGCCATGTGGTATAATAAATCCTTGTATTAAGAAAGATGTTAATAAAGTAGTAGATGTTATTGATGTCGAGGATATATCAGAGAAGGCTGTTTTCTGCCGTTGCTGGAGGACTAAAAATGTAAGTTTTCTTAAACAATGTTTTTAATATCTACGTTCTGATCAAAATGCGTGCTGTTTATAAATTTCAACTTTTGTATATGACCTAGTTTAAATTTATCCAAGAATATTCTGGTTATGAAACTAGCATTATATAACAGATACAGTAAGATTTATTATTTTATCTATAAACTCTCTTGTTTTATTATACGATTAGTATTTTAAGAAAAAGTAGATATACAATATTATTAACAAATTAAAATTATTTCTTTATTACAGTGGCCGTACTGCGATGGATCTCATGGAGCGTACAATAATGAGGTCAAAGACAATGTTGGTCCATTGGTTGTAAAGAAAGAGAACTAAATGTATACTATCCGTTATTTAAGTACCTGTGGTACATATATGCTGTACTGTTCCATACAGTTAGTAAAAAAGAAATTCTTAAAGATACAGAATAATTACATTGTTTACAAAACAATAAACTTCTTTTTATTTTCTATAGGTAGCGCCTTATTATAATACCAAGGGTGAATAGAAAAGGTTAATTATCAAGAAATAAGGTACGCATGTTATTTAATTAATTATTGAAATAAAATATTAAATAATTTATAATTGAATACTCAACAAAAAAACACACACATTGTTATTCTTGGATAATATTATTTAAAATTATATTTTTGTTAATTAAGTGATTTCCATTAAATTTGGGTAACAGTTAATCGAATAAAACGTATCTCATATAAAAAAAATAACGTACGAGGTTTATTATTATCATCTTCATTTTTGAAATATGTACATCTACTAAAGCATGTCGTAGAAAAGAAACTAATTATTTTAATCATTAGCATGTGAACAGCACTGTTGCTTTTGTTAATATTATTTATATTTTCGGTTACACAGTTTTTCTTAAAATAAATCAACACGTAATAATCAATCGTAAAACTCTAAAACCTAGCATTCATATAAAATGCTCACTCGTTGTCTTGTTAGTGTTTTGCATGTAATAAAATAATTAATAGATGAAACTGGTGTATATAAAATAATTCTTTTCGAATTTACAATCAACCCTTATGTTTTTTGTTTAATCTCTAACATAGTAAATAATACTTTAATAATACGATAAAAATAAAAATAATTGTTTCTTAAAATGAATTAAAAAGTGATATGATTTTAAGTATATAGGAACAAGCGTAAACTTGCATAGGAAAATAGTACTAAAATATTCGAGTATAGTACATATTATGTTGTTGTAATTGTAACACACCGATTATATTCCACACACGCAAAAAAAAATCGGTTATTATTATTATTATTATTATTATTATTATTATTATTATATATACGCGATATCACAGATTTTTAAAACCTCCTTTATCTCAGGAAACTTGCAATACGAATCGTGAGTTACCTCATGATCTGCGTATGACTCGGCAAGCACACATCAGATAATATCATTTATGTTCTTCCTCAAGTCAGAGCTAGAAAACAATAATATATAATTAATTCGTTTGCAATTTGATTAGAAAGAATATATTAACTTGATGCAAATATAATTACGATGTTGATTGTTATAAATTATAATTTATCTAGTTGAAATCGTGTGCAATACATTATTATAAAGGATAAAATTAGCACTATTGAATTTTATTATTGTTTTCATGGTTTAGTGTTGTCGAATTTAAATCTTTAAAAGAATTTATGAGTTTTGTAGAAACTGTTTGAAATATGAATAATGATTTCTGGCAATTATATCTTTTTTGCATTAATTTAAGAATATATATTACAATCATACCTCAAAATGTCTCAAATCGTTCGTATCGAATTCCAACTCGTTCACCAATAATTCTCGACGTCCGTATCTGTGTCTGAAGAAAAAAAATAAAAAAAAAAAAAAAAAGAACAAAAATAATAATGCAAGAAAATTGTAACAGTTTATCGAATAGATAATTGTTAAGAGAAAACAATAAAAAAAAGAAGAAAAAAAAAAATGATTTCAATCTATAAATAATTTGAAGTATTATCAAGATAAGATCTGGTAAAATAAATATGTGTAAATCATATTGTTCTTACTCGAGATATTGCTTCCAGATAACCATACTGATATACCCAACAACGATAGCAGCAGCAAATGCGAGTGTCGTTACTAATACAATAATACCAGGTGGCATACTTCCATTGCTATCTTTTTCATTGGCAGTTAATGTTTTGCTTTTAATATTCGATTCTACCTCCTGTTCTACGACACTTTCCTTCTTCTCTACCGCCGCAGTACTGATTCCAACATCCACGTGATCGTTATCGGAAGACACAACGGTAGTTACCTCTGTGGGTTCTAAAGAAATATAATAATAATAATAATAATAAACATCGGTCCGTATGTTTTAAAAATAACTGTCAAATAATTTTTCACTTACTTGATGTCACGCTCGATGATTCTATCGTTTCTGTTGTTACGTTAATCGATACAGTAGCAGTAGTAGTAGTAGTATTCATCTGATAAGTTGTATTTTCTACGTTGTCTTTATGTTCATTATCAGGATTTTCTTTATTAGGTTTTTCCTTTGTAATTGTAGCATCGTCTACGGTAATCGTCCTGTTGATACTTTTCAACGTGGTGGTAGATGATGATAATGATGATGGTGATGATGATGATGATGATGATGATGATACAGTAGCTTCTAAAAATAAAATCAAAAATAGACGATTAATGATCATTGATTCTATTTCAAAAATGTTCTCATAGAATTAAAATAATTTCATTTACCTGTAACAGTGGTAACGGACGAATTACTTTTATCCAATAGTACGGGGACAATAGTTGTAATGTCTTCTTCGTCTCGAGGAGACACCGATACTTCGATCAAATCTTTTTGTTCTCCGGTAAAATCACTTGCATTTTTAATCTCGGTAACTTGATTAATAGGTGTTGTTTCTTCGATCGGTCGTTTCGTTGCATTTTGATTAGTATGATTATCCTCCTTCTTTCCCAATACCGGAGGGATAGGGCTTGGGTTATTATGCAACGTTGCAAGGAATGTCTTAGTTAATGATGCTATTATGATCAAATAAAAATATTATCATCAACGACGAAAGAAATACATTGTATGAATGATTTTATATACAACGACAGATTTGTATTTATTAAATATCACATATTCAAATAATAATATTTTATTCATAGATAATAATAATAATACGTACCCCCTTCGTTCGATGATGGTTTTTGATGATCTGTCAAGTTAACTGTTACATTTTTATTACCTTCTTTTAAATGTTTATCTTCCTTATATGTCTCGTGATTAATTGTAATATTTTCTACATCAGCTGAAATGATCACGTTTTTCGATTTATTCGAGCCAAGATTAGGATCTTCGGTGGGAACCGTGAATGCTAAATTCACTGGAAATAAAGAAACAAAAAAAAAAGAAAAAAGAAAATTAAAATTGAGATATAGAGAGATCACGTAGTAAAAATCAATTGGTAGCAATTAAATTTGATCAATGCAGAAGTTAATTTAATTGATAAAAGAGAAAGATATATATATATATATATATATATATATATATATTAGGTATATATGTTATTATTATTATTCATCTTTCGCACGAACCGTTTTTATCGTTCCTTCTTATACACACGTTTATTATTCATTTTAAATTGCCATCTAATTTACATTTAATAATGGATCATTATGAAATAGTTAAACATTCTTCTATTGTGGTTTATTGTTATGACCACACAATACTAGCTTTTGTTTCGTATTAAAATGTTAATGTGTTTCTTTTTTTTTTCTTTTTTTTTTTAATCAAGTTAAATAACGTACGAAGAACAGTTATTTAAAATTGTTGTTGTTTCCAAAAGTAATTTGTCAAATTTGACTTTACGAAAAGTGTGTTTATTTGATAAATTATAGATTATATTATAGTGAAAAACAAAATCTATAAATATGCACATAAAGAATTTTTCAAACGAAAAAAAGAATCATTATTTCATTTAGTTGAAAGAAAACTATCGATCTTACCAAACATCAATGCAGCAAGTAGAATCCTCAAGGATAATTGAAACATTTTTTTTCTTTCTCGTTCGTGTAAATAATCTTCAAGATTTTAGTAACGAAAAAAAAACTATTTTTTCGATGATGATGACAAAGAAGACGACGACGACGACAAAGAAAATGTTTTTTTTGTTGCCTTATCGCACTATTGTATATATCACGTTGTAAATCCTGTAATCAATGATAGTTATATAGGTACGTACACGACATCAGACTAGTTTCTATATTTTGTGGGGCCGTGATCAAAATGAAAAAGCAAAAAGGGTCCCAAAAAATTATGCAAATTTTAAATGATGGAATATCTTGTCAATTCATTCATTCATTCATTCATTCAATCAAACGTGAACAATATTTATATTAACACATAAATAATAATTTATATAATAATTAAAAAAGAAGAAAATTAATTGATTTTCTTTTCTTAATTTGTTGCACTTTGCCGGACCCTCAATGATGCTGTGTACTCATAAATAGGTGAGTAATGAAAATCGTGAAAAGAATATTAAATTAGAATGGTTAAATATAAATGTTGTATTAAATTTTCAGTCAAAACAAAAAATAATTAAAAATTTCAACAACAATACGCAAATGTAATAAACAAGATTTTTATAATCAACAATCTATATAACAAATATTAATTATATGTTTTCAAATTGAGACACTATATACTGTATTATAGAAAAATATTCCTATCTACAAAAAATACGAATGATTTTGTTCTTTCAAAAAGTACATTTATATTAGCCTATTTTTCCTTATACTTTGCAACGTTAAGGTTTATCGGAAAATAACGGTAGTGCATTGTCAAGGTCGCAGTCACGCCATCGATCTGTACTTATTAATAACGAATTATGCTAGTCCTATGTGTTCCATTCAAATAATTGCATAGAATAATTGAATTCTTATATTTTTCCTCTTCCCACCACCATTTTGATTTATAATTCCATTATCAATAACAATGTTCAATATTGTATAAATATTAGAAAAACAATCAGTATTGTTCGTACAATATTATATGTTCGAACATAAATTATCATTTAAAATATTAATGAAAAATCAATTTCTATTCATTATTTTTTTTTTCTTTTTTCTAATTACAAGAAAAATGAACAGAAACGATTCCATTATCAAGAAAAATACTCAATGATACTGTTACAAATTGAGATACTATATTATTGACCAAATAACTGATAACAAATGCTTAAATACAATTTAAATATTCTTTATCTTTTATGTATTTAGATATATCGCTATCTTTTTAATTTTATTTTTTACTTTTTCTATACGTGTATACTGATTAGAATAAAAAATAGAAAGAGATCTGGATTTACGTATTTTTCAAATTAAAAAAAAAAAAAACCGAACAAACGATTGTGAAAATTTACGTGTTAGTTTTAAAAGAGTAAACAGTCATTCGTTAAAAACTAATATTTTCTTATTAACATCCACTACGATTGGCCTAGAAATCTTAAAAAAGCACGTACCGCGTGTGCTAGCTCAGTCATCTAATATGATTACGTAAAATTTATTCACACACACACAAGCACACACAACACACACACACACACACGCAAACATCTTATATGTCTTCCTTTGGAATAAATTGTTGTAAACATTTTTTTACAATTACAAAACTGTAATGAGTAATTTTAATATTTCAGTATAAATAATTAAGAATAAAATGATCGTGCAGATTATTTCTATTCTTTTGTTTTCATCGTAAAAATATATATATATATATATAGAATTCTATTTAAAAAAAAAAAATACAAGAAGTCTATCTTAAAATTCCGTAAAAGAATGACCTTGAGAAAGAATTCATTCGATCATTGGATGTCCCCGACCTGTAATAGTGCACATTTTTTCTTAGAACTTTTTTTTTCAATACGATCGTAAACAATGCAGATATTCAAGGTGGATAGATTTGTTGTATGTGTGTGTGCAATATTTTTTATTTGAATTTCTTTGATTAAAAAAAATTAATTCACACCATAATTCATGCACGCAAGAAATTATTGTTATCGCTAATCCGACACATTTTGATCCACACAAGTGTTATAATAATAATAATAATAATAATAAATACACACACATCGCATGCAAAGTACAAAGACCTATACTTTTTAATCGAAATAACGTATCGTTTCTTCTTCTTCTTCTTCTGTTATTTTTTCTTTTCTTATAAAAGAGACAAAATAAGAAAACGCGGTTAAATAAAGGAAAACGAAAATGAACATGCGCACTATTTGAAAATTATATACAAAGGAAAAAAGTATAACAATAGAAAACAAAAATAAACACGAAATACAAATATAAGTATCTTCGTAGATCTTACACTTATATGAGTCACACTAAACGGTGAAACATTTTGTTCGTAAATTCTTGTATGACGCAATATTAAAGATGTAAATTTGATTAATAAATGATAAGAAAAATTATATAAAATGATTGATAGAGGTGATACAACAACAACAAAAAATATGCATAAATCGAAGGTAAAATGTACACCAAAGAAATAAATCATATGCAAACAACAATAACCAACGATAAATCGTACGCGCGTATTCACACGTTATGAGTGGTAAAATCAAGTTACACAAAAAATATATTAAACAAAAAAAAAGAAAATATATACATCGAAGAAAAAAAAAAACAAAAATACGACAGAAAGAAAAGGATAAAAACTCTTACTTCCGGGTTTAAAATATATGAGTGTAAATAATTATAGATAACTCGAATGTTAAAAGTTTCTTCCACCTTTTCTCACGTGTTATTTCGTAAAATTACGAACAATAACGAGTTTAAACGAAAACACGAGGATATATTACACGGCATCGCTTCTTTCTTAATGCAAAAGCAATCGTAAACTGAACGTCGGAAAACCGCAAGAGGATCAACGTCGCTTTACGTTCGGAATATTGGAGATAGGAGAGGGGAGAGAGAATGTAGCGCGGCGTTTTCACACACACGCACACACATTCACACGTACACACACATTTACGTAAAAACCTGTGATAATATTATATACGTATATATCCGTGTACACCTTCGGAATCTCCCTTCTACGTAATTCTTCGGACACGTGATTTTAATTAATAAATCGTTAAGAAATTACTCGTTGTGAACCATATTTTTTAATCCAATAATTATTTACGTATAAATTATTGTACTGAATTAAATAATTATTTACAAAGATTTATTTATATATATATATATATATATATATATGTCTTTTATTATCAAAACTTTATTTTAATTATGTATTTTTTTGTTGGTATATGTATTTGTAAAATTAATATATATTATACGTAGATATATTTTTAACAAATTTTGTACACCTCGTAGTAATATTTTCCCATAAGAATTGTCACTAGTACAACTCATGATTATCACGTTGTGGATCATAAAACATATCGCAAGTTTCGTACGATGTTGCAGTTCAAAAGGGATGTTTTAATACGATTAAAAAAATGCTTGACAAAATATGACGAAATATATCGAAAAGTTTACGTATTACGAATTACGCGATGACAAGTGACCAAAAGCAATTCTTTCTTCTCGTTTTACAGGAAATAATATTGCATTTCGTTATTGCCGATTGCGTGCCTACGTAACACGATACTCTTATGCCACTATAGAGAAATGATGATGTATGAATTAAATTCAAAATGCTTATCCTTCCCGCCTTTCTCTTTTCAAAATGGTGGATTGCTTGGTAAGGTGAGCAAACGTGGTGGGGGCAGAGAGAGAGAGAGAGAGGGAGAGAGAGAGAGAGAGGGAGAGAGAGAAAGAATGATTTAATGGTAGGACGAATGCAAAGTGGTTGATTAAAAAAAAAAAGAAGAGAAGGGTGAATATGTGTTCCATTTCTTTTTCTTTCTTTTTACGAAGCTATAAATAACACATATTTATACAGGGTGCCTCAAGAGTCGCCTTACCGAATTGAAAAATTATGAATTCATTTTTTTGCAGACAGGTATTTTAAAATGGCGCTATCGTGGAACAATATTTTTCCATGATAGATTCAAAACTTTTCAATCCATCCAAGTATTTTAAAATAAAATATTTTCATTCAATTTAATAAACCAACTATATATATTAATTTGTTGTCTTTTGTTTTTCTTTTCTTAATATAGCAACTTGTGAGACTTCCTGTATGCGTATAACAATCTATGGAACGCAACAGTACGTCATCATGGAAATATATTATAATTTTAGGTCCTGGAAGTTTTCAAAAGACGTCATTTTCCATTTTAGGAAATATACTACCAGGTAGTAGTTTTATTCATTGAATTTGATTAGTCAACCTCACGTATTGACTGTTATACTATATATATACAGTACAGATGATTCTTCAAAGATTCCGGTTTACATGCTAACGAGAAATACATACATATGTTAACACTATGCTCTCGTTTACCTTTCACTGTACTCTAACGTAAAATAGATATGTTTAATCGAACTAGAACGTATTCCGTTTAAAGAATAAAAAAATATTATGGTTTCACTTTGATAAGAGACATTCGCTTTTATCTCTTAAAGATTATAAATTCAATATCTAATAAAGAGGATAAAGAATTCGAATAAATTCCATTGGTAAGTGTAAAAAAATATTGTCGACGATAATATCCGATATTAGGATCCTTGATATCAATGTTGTATTACGTTTTTTAAATTGAATACACGTGACGATACAGTTATATATATATATTATATAAATTGCGTAGTAATAATAGTTTGACCCTGCTACAAATAAAATCCTGTTAAGCGTGAAACCCCTCAAAGTACTTAGGTAGGTAATTCGATATACATATGTGCAAAGAGAAGTGAATGGGAACCGAGACGTAGTTTTATTGCTTTGTATTTAACTAAGAAAGTAGATATTATCCGGGAACAGAATGGGACCAGCATTCTCACGAAATGCACGATGAATAATAATAGTCTGGTCCTTTTTACGTGATCCTTCTTTTTTTTTTTTCTTTTTTTTTTTCTACTAACGATTAGAAACAGAAAGAAAAAGAAAAACAAACAAAAAAAACAATTCTCTTTCCTAATGTTTATTATATTCTAGATTAACTCGATCGATGGATTATTCTTCTTTTATAATTATTCTAATAATGATTTAACTATATATATATAGTTAATAATTATAAATATGTTTATATATTAGTTTATTGATTTACAGGGTCGCATTTATCATAAGGCGTATTACATTTCTAATTTTTAGCCATCATAAATAATAATATAAAAATCAACAAATAAATAAAAAAACAAAAAGTTAATTAACTAAAATGTTGTTCCTTGGAGATCTCATAATTAAAGTTTTGTTTAGGACTTCACTAGTAATAAATGCGGCTCTGATTGTTTATAATGTAATTGATAATACATTGGATCATGATTTTATAGAACACTTTCGATTGTAGCGTTTATAACTTTAGTCTTGGGCTGTAAGATATTATGTATTAAACTTTTTTTCATTTTCTTAACTATAAATAAATAAATAAATAATGTATAGATTTTTAAATATATTATTCAGATATATTATAAATTTATATTATACAGTCAACCACAGCCAAGATATTTAAACTTTTTAAAGAAGAAGTTTGCTTCTTCTTATTATTGCTCGTTATAATTTGTATTAAACGACGATTAAGTTTAGATACCTCCAAGCTAAAGCGTAAGATATTTTATAGCAATCTATAAAGTACACTTCTATGATAATGCTATTTTTATGACAAAACAAAAATGTAGAAGTGAAAGCGTGAATACTTTTAATTATTATTTTTATCATACGTGATATTTGCATATTTTTTTTCAATTAATTGTTTATTTTAAATCATGATTAATATAAATGAATTCACTAAGATGTACAGGGTGTCATGTAATTGATGGTATAAGCGAGCAAGGAGTGATTCTTTTTATTCCAAAACAAAGTCTTTTATGAACAAATTGTACTCAACATGTTTGAGTTAGTTTGTCACGTAGAATCATCCCTTACTCATTCCTACCACCAGTTACAGGACATCTTGTATATATATACTGAATGCTTTTTAATGACGTAGTTTAGAAAAATAATTTTTGATAATAATTATAACTAAGACGTCTGATTTTATAATATTATAATTAATATAAAGCGCTATGAACACCCATTAATTTTTGTCTTTTTTTTTCTTTCCCAAAGGCACAGTAAACTTATGTTTATATATAGACAAAGCCTTATATGGAGAGAATAATGTTCATATAAAAATTTAAGTTTATTTTTCACTACGGCAATGTTATTTAAAGATTACTCACTTAATTTGGAAATAATTGTTGACGCTCTATACGTAAATGCACTTTTTGGACTGGTTTCAGAAATTTGACGATATTCGTATATTATATTTCGTAGTGAAAAATATCTCGTAATTTTGTGTTTTTTTATTATTTGAATGCTCAAAAGCAGAGCAACAATAACGCTTCAGAGTTAGTTAAGAAGAAAAGTCAGTATTCGATACTTCTTCACATTTAAAGCTGTCTGTATATTAATCACCTAGATACACCTTTAACAATAGAAATGCACATCAATTGATGAAACTTAAATGATATCAAACAAAAAAAGAAAATACCTACATGATTTTTATGATGCTGTGATTTGTAATCTTGCAATGAATTAAAGAAAACATATTTGTTTATGTTTAATTTGATTGTAAGCGAATTAAAGATGTCATTTTCTTCTTAAATCGACCACTTCCACAGGTGCAGTTGGATCTAACTTACAATGTTTTGCTTTCTAAAAATGAAACGAAAAATATATTCATTATTATAATATACAAAAGTAACAGTACGCTGTGTAATTATGTACCGTATAAAGCGAAGGTTCTGTTGGATGAGGATGAAAACCGGTCTGTCTGCAATTAGCTATATAATCTAGACCATATTCTGGAGTTAGAATAAAGAAAGCTGTCCTACATAAACAAATTAAATATATACATATATATATATATATTAATTCGTTAACCAGGAAGAATTAGAAAATATAAAAGATCATTTAATTTGCTTACTCGTCATATTTAGGTGCACAAACAATAGCAATTGCTTCAGCCATCATAAGTTGATAGGAACAATGAGTGTGAAGGTCCACGCTAGATAAAAATGCTGTTTGTGTTGGATGCGTCTATAAATGATCATACAATTACAATTTTCATTTAAATATTGTTAATAACTGTTAATATTATATTTTATATTTGTATATGTACATACATGTATCCATCCGAGAGTAATTAAATTATGATTATCTTGAAAGTCAAAAATATCCTCTTCGTTGAGCGTTAAACAAGAATCAGGGGAGCCCGTTTGTTGTGGAATTAATAAATGAGTGATCAATAATTTATTACGTTCCAATTTTCCTGTTAGTATGCCGCACGTTTCTTTGTTATTTGTTGTATTATTAAATGCTAGCGAAAGGAAATTTTGTATCAGTTTGTTGGGCAAAATAATATCGCGTAATTGGCTGCTGTCGTTCAAAAGTATAGTAGGTTTTGTTGAACGATCCACTCTAGGTATATTGCTAAAAAATATATTTGTTTTTGTATGATAAAATTATTTCAAATGTTACAGATGTCAGATTTATATACGCTGAAGTGAAACTTACTTGTCTTTTAAAGACTGAGCCTTACTATCTATGGATAAACTTTTTGGTGGTTTAGGAGTCGGAGTGAACCGCTTTACAGGTAATTTTATGTCATCTTTGGTCTCCAAGAAATCAGTCTCAGCGAACTTGGCAGCTCTCGCAGCTTCTATTGCTGCCAATTTATTTTTTCTTTCCTCTTCTTCTTTTAATCTACATGAATAATGAAATATATTAACAATGATATTTTTATAATGAAAAAATAAAATGTAACCTATACATAAAGATCAAATTGTGTATAAAAATAGGAAAAGAGTATAATAATAATAATAATGATACAAATTAGTTATATATTTATTAATGAAAAAATGAATATTAGAATTGATACCTCTGCTCTTCTTCTCGCTTAGATCTCTCTTCGTCCTGATACTGTTTCAATAACTGTTTCTTAAGTTCCTCCGCTTTGGGAATAACTTCTCGCAAGATTCGTTTACTCAATGCTTTATCTTCTGCTGTTACTTTATGATAAAGCTGATGTTCGCTCATTTTTTCTACAAATAGCCTAAAAATGCAAAAATCCCTTAAACCATTGAAATTTTATTTCCAAAAATAGTACTAGATTAATATATGCAAAACCCTTACGTTATAAATCTGACAAATAATTGATACGCTTCTTCGTAGTTGCCTTCCTCTGTATATACATTGGCTTGTCTAATTATTTGCATTCCAGAACGATAATATCTAAAAATCATACAACATAAATATATAAAAACAATCAAATTCTGTACATAGAAGAAATTGATTATTGAAAGTACCTTTTAGGTGGAATGTTATGTTTGATTTCCACTTTTGAAGCTTTCTCAGAGAGCATTTTTAAACGCGTTTCTGGATCTGATATTCCTGTCATTTTGGTGATTGACAATTCTCCGCTTTTACTTTCTGATTTATTCCTCTCCATTTTACAAATGCTAGGTTATGTTGAAGTAGTCAATTTGTCAAAGAAGTATAAAAATCAATTATTATACACGAATAATATTTATAATGACATAATGATTATATACGAATTAACACTGCTATAGACTATAGACTTTGATAGACTAAAATGACAATAAATAGAAGGGATGACGTTCCTTGTTATATCTCGATGAAGAAAAATTAACAAGAAATTAGATAAATAAACGTTAGAAACGATTAAATAAATATCTGATAAATTCAGATAAATTGAATGATATTGCACAGTGTCTGTTATTATCATAAAGCATAACGAAAATATAATATAGATTTGACAAGCATGTAACAAATTAACTTTATAATCTCTATTCTTTTTTATTCTTTTAATTTTTTTTTCCTTTTCTTCTTTATCATTCGCGTATCATGCACGACCTTATCGGCAATAGAAATAGATAGAAATAGATAGAAATAGAAAGCAATGCTGCTGATAAGAGGATTACAAATGATAAAATAATATCGATAATATTATTTCGATAGATTATTTCGAATAAATAATCGTTTGTTTATTCGATAAATGAAAAATCTTTGAAAGAAATTAATTAAATCGACAATATTTATATGCATTATTTACAATGTATATAAAACACAAATAATATCGATATATAGGGTAACGTCAAAATAAAGATGCAAAACCTTGAGCTCTATCATCTTATCTTATTCATAGATGAGACATTAAAAAGTGTTAGTTCAGTCTACATACTAAACTAATACTTTAACTCTATCTAATGTGAGAGATATATAATCGAACAAGTTTACATATATATACACCAAGTCAAAGAATGCAAAGGTACATTGAAACTCACAAGTCCCCATTTTTATCTAACCAGATTCATCTTAGTTACTACTAGAACCACCAGTGGGCGATAGTAGGTACTTGACGCGATAACGGTACAATACTATCAAAGTATACAGTATTCTTTGATAATATATATAGTATAGTTAAATTGTGTATAATAGAATTTTTAATAAATATATTAATTTTTTAATGTGTGTAAACACATGTGTGTGCCTTAAGAAATACTGCAGAATACTGCATTCTTTGATAGTATTGTATCGTCATTAAGTACCTACTATCGCCCACTGGTAGTCTCGGTAGTAACTTAGATGAATCTGGTTAGATAAAAAAGGGAACTTGTGAGCTTTTATTGTACTTCTTGACCAAACTATTGACGTCATACTGGTGTTCCCCGTTGTGCTTGTAGTTTAAGATTTTATCTGTTCTTGTCGCTGAAGTCGCAAACATTTCGAGTAGTAATGGAACTTTCAATTACATTTCCTTTCTTTCGTTTGTCATTTTTTCCAAATGTGTTTTTGTTTTATTTCGAATGCAAAGTAACTATTATTCAAAGATACTTGTTATGCATTTTATTATGATTTATATAAAAATAATTGTGCATTGAAAATACATTTTCGTTCGATTGATTGCATTTTATTATTTTTTGATAATTTCTAACCAATCAGTTTTCGTTATTGTAAATAAATTGACCAATTAAATGCTTTCACTGAATAATATACATGTATTATTTAGATTTATTCAAAATTCAAATGATATTACATGTACTAAATATACATTGATTATTCTTATCAGTATGATAACTGAATCAATATTTTATTTTTTTTTCTCTGGATAATTTAAATCTCGGAAAGACTCTTAATAAGATACTCGTATTAACTGCGATAAAACAGCTGATCATTATGTCTCAATTAATAGCTTCCTTTGTACGTGTGTTTTTGGATAGTGTAAATAAACAAAGATAATCACATACGATTGTAGAAATATAATCTCATTTATTTAATTAACTGTAAATGAAAGAATTGATAACAATATAACTTTTAATACTTCATGATTCTTATCATAGTACGACATTTAAATAAACATATTACTTCATATTATTATTTCTATACAACAACAGCAAAAATCTATTTTATTTCCAATTATTACAAATAAATTGTTTTGATAAATAACAGATAATATATTTTTAAAATAAATATATTGACTTTTACTTGAACTCGCATAAAGTATTTTCCTGAATGACTGTGTGTAATATCCAAAAATGGAAGTTTAAAGTTATCAACTGTTTGAAATATTTTAGATGGTAAAACATATTTGTTTCTATATTTCATTATGACGCTACAATCGAAGCTTTTTTTTAATGCAAGGCGAAGGTATTTATTCTTAAATTCTTTGCGTTTTCATCGCATATTTAAATTTTATTATGATGTTCATTATACGGTAAAATTGTTCATTTACATTTTAGGTCTAAAGTAATATTATCTAGATTATTTTTAGCCGATTATGTAAATGCTCATAAGCATACTTCACAACAAAAAGAAAAAACTTATACAAATGAAGAAAATATCAAAAATTATTTTAACATTAAATATGTTGCCGGTCTTGCAATCACTGCTTCACTCTTAGGTATATATTTTTATAATATATCGCAAAAAAAGGAAGCACAGTCGTCCGAAGAAACAAAGAATATTGAATGCGGAAAATTAAAGAAAGATCTACAAACTTACACGCTGATAGAAGTAGGAAAACATTATAATAAAGAAAATCGTATTTGGGTAACTTATAAGGAAGGGGTATATGATATTACGGATTTCATTGAACGACATCCTGGTGGTTCTTCTAAAATCATGATGGCAGCTGGAAGTTCAATAGAACCATTTTGGTCAATCTTTGCTAATCATAACACACCTGAGATATACGCTCTCTTAGAATCAATGAGAATTGGTAATATATCTAAAACAGATGCCAAATCAAATATTAGCGATTTAAGTGATCCTTATGCGAATGAGCCAACTCGTCATAAAGCTTTAAAGATCAATGGTCATAAGCCCTTTTGTGCAGAAACACCGTCTTCTTTATTAATCGAAAGCTTTCAAACACCAACGTAAGTAAAATAATATGATAATCACTTATATCTCTTATTAAATCTTCTACAGGTAGCTGGATAATTGATTAAATTTATTATTTTGTATAAGATTTAAAGTAATTTCTATTTTTAGAGATCTTTTTTATGTTAGAAATCATCTTCCCGTTCCTGAGATAGATTTAAAGACTTATACGGTAGAGATAGCTGTAGAAAATGATACTAAAAAAATATTAGATTTCGATGCGATTAAAAATTATCCTAAATATACGATAACCAGTGCTATAATGTGTGGTGGAAATAGGCGTTCAGAAATGGCAGAGGTATCTCTTTATTAGATCTCATTTAATTGTAAGTTAATTAAAAATTATATTAATGTATCTTTGAATAGGTAAAACCGTTGAAAGGTCTAAGTTGGGGTGTAGGTGCAGTCGGTAATTCCACTTGGTCAGGAGCACGTTTGTGTGACGTGCTGAAAGATTTAGGAATAAATGAAGAAGATTATGATCACGTGCAGGTACTTTAACTTTCTAGAAACACATTTTTTTCTATAGCTTTTTATTTTTATCTTTTTCGATGTGTTAGTTTGAAGCTCACGATGTAGATCCTAGTGGTACACCATATGGTGCAAGTATTCCTATTAGTAAAGCCATGGATCCTAGAGCTGATGTACTATTAGCGTATGAAATGAATGGAGAACCTATACCAAGAGATCATGGTTTTCCAGTTAGAGTTATTGTTCCCGGAGTTGTAGGTGCAAGAAATGTTAAATGGCTTGGTACGTAGATCAATGTCGAAATCTAAATTTTATAGAATAATTTTATTCTACCTAACGTAATATATTAAAATGTTTTTCGTTTCGTAGAAAGAATAATTATTTCTAAAATAGAAAGTCAATCGCAATGGCAGCAAGGCGATTATAAAGCTTTTTCTCCTAGCACGGATTGGGATAATGTTGATTTTTCAAAAGCGCCAGCTATACAAGAGATGCCTGTCATTTCTGCTATTTGTAAGCCAGAACAATCAGAAAAAGTCACAATAAAAGATGGCAAAATAGATGTTAAAGGTACATGATTTTATAATAGTAAAAATCTAAAGAAGTATCTTATTACCTAAATCATATTCTAGGATATGCGTGGTCAGGTGGAGGTAAAAAGATAATCAGAGTCGATGTGACATGTGACCAGGGAAATACTTGGCACACTGCTGATCTTGTAGGACAGGATCTTAATGCTAAACCAGGTCGAAATTGGAGTTGGACTTTATGGAGTATTAGTCTTCCTGTTGATGTAAAATTAAAGGAAGTTGAAATTTGGGCTAAGGCTGTTGATGCGTCTTATAACGTTCAACCGGAAACTGTAAAAAATATTTGGAATTTACGGGGTTTTTTGTGCAATGCATACCACAGAGTAAAAGTTCAATTGAACTAATGTACAACAGTGTGGTATAATTATGAGATAAGTTTTTAGATTTTTTAAAGTAATCGATATTTGTTTTATATTATACATGTATTATTTTATATGTACAAAAGAAAACAACATTTTTATCAAGATACTACAGGCTACTTTCTTGTAATAAAATATTTCCGGATTCTTTAACATCGCTTTTCATAAAGTAATCAGTTATACTCTCTAAAGTAACTTCATGATATTTATCGTTATAAACGTCATATAGTTCAAACACTGACTTTGTTATTAGAGTTTTACCAAGGATTATAGCATAAGGATATCCAGTGGTTCGTACATATAATAAACGTTTACCTATCGTTAAATTTGTTCTGTCATCGAGAATTGCATCTATACCTAATTTACATAAAATATCGTATACCGGTTCAATATAAGATACTGCAGTTTCCTCTTCTTTGCTTCCTTGCTGTAAGATACATATAATATTATAATTTTATACACCAATATATAAAATGTACCATTTTTTTTTTTTTTTAATTAATTACCTTCGGTGGAATAATACAAACTGTGAAAGGTGCAATACACTTAGGCCATTTGATTTCTTCCTTAGTTGAATAAATTTCAGCTGCTGCAGCCATAATACGACTTAAACCAATTCCAAAACATCCCATTACAAGAGGTTTTTCTAGATTCTGATCTTTATATACTGCATTCAATGGTTTTGAATACTTTGTATCTAAGAGGAAAGTATGTCCAACCTGAATATTTAAGATATACAGTAAGAATGCGATAAATAATTATATCTCAATAAATAATTAAATTATTTTATGTTTTTAATTTAAATGAAATACCTCAATTGCACTATGTGCTTGTAATTTTGCATTGCAGTGTGAACACTCTGATTGCGTAGATATATTTTTATTCACATGATAATTACAAGATTGACATGATAGAATAGTATCTTCCCCAACGTTAGACAAATAATGATATTCGTGGGATAAACAACCACCAATAGATCCTGTATCACCTTCCGCTGTAGAAAATAAAATATCATAAAGGTACGTACAATGAAATTCTTTATGAAATTTATATAAAAAGAAACAAAATTAATTCTATTCAAACGTATTAAATTACCTTTAATATATTCTATTCCAATTTGATTAAAAATATTATCATAAGCCTCGCATACAATATTATACGTATCTTTGGCGTCATCCAAATTGAGATTGAACGTATACAAATCTTTCATAATGAATTCCCTACTTCGTAACAAACCTAAACGTGGTTTCATCTCATCTCTCCATTTGCTAGAAATTTGATATAATTTGAGAGGTAATATTTTGGGAGTCAAGGGTCCCACATTCTTGATCAGACTGCATATAGCTTCTTCGAAAGTCTGCAATGTAGTTTACACCTGTATGAAACGTTAAACTTAACATAATATTCTGTTACAAAATAATTATTAAACATAATTGTTTTTTTTCCAAATACTTACTGGACCGAGAACATATTCTCTATCGTATCTATCCGTAAGAGTAAACAATTCACTTTTATCTGAATCATATCTATTAGTTTTCTTAAATAATTTAGTTGAAGTTAAAGCAGGCAACAATATTCTTTGCGAACCAATCTTCGTCATTTCTTTTTCTACAATAGTTGAAAGTTTATTCAATATTCGAAATCCTAATGGTAATAACACATGCATCCCTTTATTAACTGGTTTGATTATACCATTATTGATCATATTCTATAAAAATAAAAAAAAAAATACAAATTTGGTAATTAATAAATTAGTATAAATAAAACATATATTATCTTTTGAATCTTGATGTATATTATATCAAAAATATTTACCACATAACCCTTTGAAACTGCTTCTTCAGTCTTTTCAAATGTATCTGGTAATGTAGTACGCGGTGAACGAAATAATTGGGATACTCTACTTATTTTGTTGAATGTTTTACTCGCCATATTGTCACTTTTGTTATTTTAATTTTTATAAACAATAGGTTTAATCGAGAATATCATAGAAATGATGAAAATACCGGTGAACGACAGTGTAGATGTCGCTAATGTTTCGTGATACTAAAATAAATCGGAAATTCTACGATGTTTTTTAATATTTATCTATGCAGAAGTTCGTCAATGAAATATTTCAAATGTATAGATTTTACCGCCATAAGTTTACGTAATAATCAATTGAATAATGGCGCATTCTTTTTCGAGTATATATGAATAAAAAGAAAAATATAATTAGAAAATATAAAAATAATAACGCGTGTAATATAATATTCAATAAATTATATTACTTAAAGAATTTCTTTACAAAATATATTAATCTCAAATTAGATAATTATTAATCAAAATATTACGTTCTTATTTAAATAGGGGATAAATAGAAGAAAAAAAAGAAAATGGTATATTAATATAGGAATAAAATGAACGAGAGGACCATTTCTAGAATATATTGCTATATACACACTTTAATAACCAAAAACAAACATTACAGTAATAATATTGTTGTTATTAATATAATATTATGTAATAATAGAATCGTTTATCAATCGTAGTGTAAACACTAAAAATGTTGCTTCCTCATTTATTTTGTTATTTGGAAAGAACGATGCGGTAATCTCGCTTAGCTCTCATTCTCATCTCATTTAATAATGTTAATTTTATAATCGTCGCGAAATAATTCGCCGCTCGTCGTAAGGCCCGGCGTGATATTTCTATTCGATCGAAAATCATCATCTTCTCCTCATTTTTCTTTTTTTCATTTCTTTTGCGTAAGAACAATAAATGAATATGTTGTTCCGCGCAAATTGAAAAGACGAAAATAAGCAGAAGAGGAAGAAGAAGAAGAAAAAAAAAAGATCGATCGTTCCATACGATCGTCACATCCTTTATTTCATTTCATTTCATTTTATTTCATTTATATATTTCTGTTTTTTTTTTTTTTTAATTCTTTCTCGATCGATTCACGAAATCACACCGAACCAAACAAGATTGCGTGGCCGAATCGTGGCACCGTAGACGTTTATCTTAGAGTAATAAATATTATAGTGCAATATCTAAAAAATCTGTCTTTTTTATGCAACTTACACATTCAAATACAGTGTACTCGAAAAATTTACAATATTATTGCCCTTACAAACATTAAATCTCTATTCGAGCGGTGGTTAATCCGCGATACCTTTCTCTCTCTTTTTCTCCCTCTCTCTCATTCTCACTTTGACGCACGCACACACACACACACACACACTCACATACATACATACACTCTCTCATTTTCTCTCTCTTTTTCACACGACTTTTTTGCTCTCTTTCTCACTCTCTTTCTATCTCTCTCTCTCTCTCTCTCTCTCTCTCTCTCTCTCTCTGACCGCTAAAAAAGAATGTATATTTTTTTTTTTTTTTTTTATATATATATATATATATATATTTATTTTATTTTTTAATTTTTTTTTTTATTCAAGATCGTGAGTGCGTGTGAGAATATTCAAAGTGTACAGCTGATAGAATCGATTCCTAGTCCGTTTAATTAATCGTATAGCTTCTTCTTTTGTATGATTTTTTTTTTTAACTATCTTCCCTCTCTCTCTCTCTCTCTCTTTGAACGCAACTTGTTTCCTTGTTTTTTTTTTTTTTGTTAAAACATTATGTCATACATACACACGATAGAGTGCGCACGCGTAGTATCTTTTCATTTTCTCCCCCTCACCCCCACCCCCCGCGTAATTTTAAACACACACGTTTGTCGGTGCGGTCATGTTTTATTCTATTTCTTTTTTCTTTTCTCGTTTCTCGGCATGTTCTTTTTCTTTTTTTTTTATGCTAAGAGCACACGTGTATAAATGCATAATACATGAGTCATCGCATTTTCATCGGTCACTAACTTTAAATTCACTTTAATATCGGATATATTCATTTTTCCTCATGTCGGGCTTTATTCTATATCTCTTCTTTTATTCTCATTTTATTTATTTATTATTCATTATTCATTTTCATTTTCCTTTCATAATCCGAGCATAATCATCTCTACCTTTTTAAACGATGAAAGTGAAGAAAGTTGAAAATATTCGGTTATGTAGTAGACGATTTGAAAGATATTTTGTTCTTTCTTCAATTGGCGATACGTTGAGACGTTTAACGAGCACAGTACGAATGATATTATTTATTTATTTATTTATTTATTTATTATTTTGGTTTTTATTTTTTTTCTTTTTTTTTAATTTTTCTTCTCCTCTTCTTCTTTTCTCTTTTTGCATTGTGTCACGAGAAGAAGATTCACATTTTCTTTTGTTTCAACATTGTATTTTATTTGATTTTCTTTTTTTTTTTTTTTTGGTTTCTTTTGGTTCTTTCTTTTTATAAAGCGAATCAAGCGAATAACAGCACGAGAATAACGAAAATGAAAAATCGCTTATGCGTTTATTTGTCGCTTGAGATAATAATAACAATGAATATATTAAACACCTGTTTAATCGATTAGCCGGAATTAATAACACATCTCGTAAGTTCTTTTTTTTCTTTTTTTTTTTTTTTTCAATTTTTACCTTCGTTTCCGGTAATACTTGCCCCATTGATCGTTCTTTCGTGATTGTTATTGTTATTGTGTTTTGTTTGTTATTATTAATATTATTTTTATATTATATATTATTATTAATATTATTTTATTATTTTTATTATTATTATTATTATTATTATTATTTTTTTTTTTTTTTCTTTTAAATCTTTGACAACGTTGAGATAATATTATCAGTAGCACTTTATTTATCGTAATTACGTTCATGTGATTAATGATAAAACACGGCATAAAAATTATTCATTCGCTTTTTATACGAAAGTCGTCCCACCGCCATAATTACTCGTCGCTCGGTATATCCTTAGTTTTCTTTTCTTTTTAACTTTCGTGTGTATGTGTGTGTACTTTTTTTGGTCGTGTACATGTGTGGTGGTTAAAACACAATCTCTGATATCTTTCATCACTTTCTTTCTCTCTTTCTCTCTCTCTCTCTCTCTCTTTTTTCTTTACGAATATCAAACGATATTAACGTACAATGCATACATATGTAATTCTTAACAATTTTCTTCAAACTTTATCGCATAACTTTAAGTAATTAAAAAAAAAGCCTCTCGTTTTTATATCGCATACCGAAGCGTGTCCGCCATTTTGATTCCGACGAAGAGAAAAGACGTAAGAAAATGGCGGCTCGATTTAAAATTATTACTTCGCGGACTTCAGCTGCGTGTAAATATCTGATGTGTTTAATAGTGTCGTATCGGTGAGGAACAGGGATTGATAATGGTTTTATGTTAATTGTTGTTGGTTGTGGGTTGTTTTTTATGATGACGATGGTAATGG